CCCCAAAACCCCAAAACCCCAGCTTGTGAAATTACCCTTTATTTTTGAAATTAAAATATATAAATAATAGTTAGTATAATTAAGAATCAATATGTTCAAAAACACATTCTAATCTGGCTTCCTATCTATCTTGTACTCTATTGGGTAAGCACACAATATGATCTCTTATACAGGGATTAATAATCTTTATAGGTCCAAGCCTCTCTAAATCTGGGACAAGTCTGTAAGAAACGGACACATTAAGAGAATCACCGATCCTGATATCTAGAGTTCAGTCCTTGAAATCATGGGCACTAACGTCTCAACCAACTACATTACCTGCCCAGCTGATGCCAACAAGACTCTTGGCATTAAGCTTCCCTTCCTCGTTATGATCATCAAGAATGTAAGTCCAGCCCTGTCCCTCTATAACTAATCTATAGCTCAAGAAGTACTTCACCTTCGAAGTGCAGGTACTCGATGACAAGAACGTAAGAAGAAGATTCAGAGCATCAAACTACCAGAGCACCACCAGAGTGAAGCCCTTCATCTGCACCATGCCCATGAGACTCGACGAGGGCTGGAATCAAATTCAGTTCAACTTGTCTGATTTCACCAGAAGAGCTTACGGAACAAATTACATTGAAACGCTCAGGTAAGACCAATATGCTTTTGCTAACGTGAATTATATAGAGTGCAGATCCACGCCAACTGTAGAATCAGAAGAATCTATTTCTCAGACAGACTCTACACCGAAGACGAGCTACCCCCAGAATTCAAGCTCTTCCTCCCAGTTGCTGGAAAGACACAACAAATGTGAGAAAATATTAACTGTGGCTCCATATGAATAAATATTTTACACTGATTTATATTCCTAAGATAATTCATTTATTTTATTTAAAATAAATAGCATCATTTATAAGTAAGCTAATGAAGTTATAATATTTACTTATTATCAAAGATATAAACTACTTTAAGCACTCTCTATCTTATCAATATTCAAATGAGTACTACTGAAGTAATAGAACATCCCAAATAAAACATGAAAAATAACTTTGTAAGATTAGTCTTCGGAGGAATATCATGCATGACTGCTGCTACATTCACCAATCCAGCAGATGTAGTTAAAACTAGATTGCAGATTTAAGGAGAAAAGGGCTTATCAACAACCAAAGCTTACAATAATATCTTCCGCGCTGGATATCTGATACTTAAAAGTGAAGGTTTTAAAGGATTATACAAGGGAATTTAGGCATCTTGGCTAAGAGAAGGCGTTTATTCATCTATAAGATTAGGATTATATGAACCTTTTAAGCAACTATTGGGTGAGGAGGATCCTAAAAACACTCCTCTTTGGATGAAGTTTGCGGCAGGATCCATGTCAGGAGGTGTAGGCTCAGTTATAGGAAATCCAGCTGATCTTCTCAAAGTAAGGATGTAAGCTCATGAAAGTCAAAAAGGTGAATCAATTGTCTGGCATGCAAAGTAGATTAATGATAGTTTCGGAATTAGAGGTTTCTATAAAGGATTGCAAGCAGCTGTTTTTAGAGCAATGATTTTAAATGCTTGTTAGTTAGGCACTTATGATCATGTGAAGCACACTATTTTAAGACTGAAACTCCTTACAGATGGTCCAATGTGTCACTTTGCTAGCAGCATATGCGCAGGAATTGTAATGGGAATAGCTACATCTCCAGTAGATGTAATTAAGACAAGACTGATGAACCAGTCGACAAGCAAAGATTCTACAAGACAATACAATGGTTTTATTGACTGCTTCAACCAAATATACAAGCATGAAGGCGTAAGAGGGTTCTTTAAAGGTCTGACAGCATAGTGGGCAAGACTTGGTCCCTTTACCATAGTTTAACTTATGGTTTGGGAGAAGCTTAGGAACCTCTATGGAATTAAAGGCATTTGAAAACATTATGAAAGCACATAACGAATAACTTATTTGCAAAAAGCTATACTTATCAGAGGCTCTTACAACAAAGTGAGTTTCCTGAATGATAGTGAATCGATTTAACTTCTCTTATTACTTTAATTTATAGTAAGCACTATCAATATGATAATATTTCTACGTTAAATGTTAAATAAATCCTAAATCATCATGCTGCTGCAATATCAATAATATTATGCTAATCATAACATTTATGAGTTATTTATTCCAAATTAAACCAATATCTTAATATAATATCTCAATCGACTTCGCCTCCTCACAACTCATTTTTCTTATCATTATGAAGGCCAGGCTGGCTTGCGCTTCTCAACATAGATCCGAGATTGGGAGTTGAAGCGGACATTTGGAACTTCTTTTTTGCCTCATAGTATCCGAAATCACTTGGTGCTCTGTAGTTTCCAGGACCTGGAGTCTTCAAATTAGCGAAGGAGCCTAGTGTCTGTCTGTCGGCATGATAGTGAGTCCTGCACATTGAACTCATAAACTTAGAGACGAAGTATGAGCCTGTCTGTGTCATATTTACATGTGGTTCATAAGCCCCTGGTCCTGGGTTTGCTTTTATACCTAAAAATAGAGTTATTATGATTAACCGATTAATGTGTAGTAAGATACGATAAATTTATATAACTGAATCACTCCTTACTAGTAAATTCCTTGAACCTCAAAGATGAGGGAGGATCGATTGAGGTGGCTGAAGAGTTCTTGAATTTAGAGTTGAAATAGTATCCCTTATCATTAAGAGCAGGCTTAGGTTCATACTGTCCTGGACCAGGCTATCCTTTATACAATAGACTTTCTAGAAATAAAAGATTAATTCACATGAAATAAAATATTTGCTTTAATTGTTTGAAGTATAGGATATATGTATCCGAATTATTACATTGGAGATTTTAAGTCTTTGGTCTCATTGTGTAGTGGACTGCCTCCTTTCCAACAATAGGGGGAATAGAGTACTAGCCTGGGCCAGGCACACACTAATCAGCTAGGGGGTTTTCCTTGATGTAGACTTTGCTATAGGCTTCTCTGGCGATTCCAAAACTAAAAGCTTTTGATGAAGCTGTTTTTGAAAATATGGACTTGGCTTCATAGTTTGTGGGTGAAGGGGAGTCAACTATAACGAATATTAGTTTTCAGAGATAATTATAAAGATCAGATATTTTGAAAAATAACTTACCTCTATTCTTAAAAATATCTCTAGACCCGTAGCCGATACCAGCAGCTCTGTTTGTTTTCATACTGGGTAAATCGTAAGCAATTTTCTGATTCCTAATTTAACATGTCAGGAATTGTTTATTACATCATCTTCTTGGGTTAGGGAAATCTTTCAGCCTTTGAAAAGCTGTATAATGCCTTAGATGGTGAATTATTCACTGGATGCTAGTTGATTTGTTAGGGTGATGAAACTAAAAGGGACATATTAATTGCTTAAAAGTTATTAAATTTCTCTAAATTAAAATTATAAACTTAAGACTTCCAAAAATGTTAATGAATTCAATGGCTAAGAGATTAGTTCAATAGAATTGCTTATAGCATAATATCAGATCAATTAAATAAAAGCAAGGGAGTATATTCAGTATGAATACTTTTAGAAGATTCTCTGCGCATGGATTTAGTGAGGAAAGTATCAATTAATTTACCCATGATGGAGTTTATACTATCTAAGATCCTTAAATCCAGCCAAACTATCTAAATGGAAAATGCTACCTTGTTCATGATACACATCAATTAGCTTATGAACCTGACATTGGCAAAATCTTCAATCCTGCTATATGCTTACTCTCATATTATGCCTACCATTCCTACTATGCTGTTCCATTCGTATTATCAACTTTTGGATTGTAGTTTGCTGGATTGTTTGTATCATCTGTGATTATGTTCAACTTTAGATCTATTAGAGGAATGACTATTGTGGAGATGCTTTTAGATTAGACAAAAGAAAATGTGACTATCACATTTATGAGTGGTAACTCTGTCGTATTACCAGTCTCAGACATAGAGATGAAAGGAGATGAAGGAAAAGTGATTAAAGTCATTTTAAAGGGTAAGAAAAGGAGTATTACAGCAGGAATTGAGATCAATAATGAAAGAGTTGCCAATAGATATTCAAACATTGAACTTATTTATGCTATTTGTAACAAGAATGTCAAAAAGTTAGAATGAGTAGCTGATTTATTCCAATGAAATACACATAAAAATCGCTTGTTTTGTAAATGAATTTATCTTATACTTGTAATCTAGTGCGATAAGCATCTTATGGGGTTTTGGGGTTTTGGGGTTTTGGGG